ACCCGGCCCCCAAACTGAACCCCAAACCCGCCCCAAACCCGGCCCAGAACTAGGTCCAAACCCAGCCCCGAACGTGCCCCAAACCGGCCCCGACCCGCCCCAAATCCACCCCAAACTCGGTCCAAACCCGGCCCCAAACCCGCCCCAAACCGATCCCGACCGGGCCCCAAACCCAGCCCCAATATGACCCCAAACGGGCCCCAAATCCATCCCAAACCCGCCCCAAATCCATCCCAAACTCTGTCCAAACCCGGCCCCAAACCTGGTCCAAACCCGGCCCCAAACCGGCCCCGACCCGCCCCAAATCCATCCCAAACCTGGTCCAAACCCGGCCCCAAACGCGCCCCAAACCGGACCCGACCCGCCCCAAATCCACCCCAAACTCGGTCCAAGCCTGACCCCAAACCCGGCCCTAAACCCGACCCAAACGGGTTTTTTGGCCTCATCAACCCTTCCCTATCATTTCCAGCCCGAAATAGCAGCGGCAGTTCCGGCCGGTTCCGCCTAATCCCGGAAAATCCCGGCCCTAAAAAAACTTTTACGGTCGAGTTTTGTATTTTTTGGGGAAAAATCTGGGAGGGTTCCGAGGGCGTGAGCGGAGGGCGGATTTGAGGGTAAATATTTGTGCGATGGGTGGGATTTTRTGTCTTTAACTCGCACGCAAAACCCCATAAAATAGGGATTAATATTTAATTTATTTTATTTTAATTTAATTTAATTGCATTACATATGCACGCATATTCAAATTAAATTAATTACATAAATAGCAATTCATATTAAAATTAATTAAATCAAGTGCCTTTAAATAGGAACGAATATTTAGATGAAATTAATGACATTAAATTGCATTCAATAGATGAAATAAAATTAGTTAAAGAAATTTTAAAAAATGAAAATTTGGGTGCTGACGGCAACAGAGCTCAGGATGAGCGGATCAGGGATGATCGAGATTTTCACAATTCCCAAAATTGGTCCCAGAATTCCAGAGGGAGATTTTTGGCTCCTTTTTGTGCGTTTCCTTCGGAATTTTGGATCAGGCAAAAGAAAGGAGATTTCAGCACCAAAATCTGAGTGAGATCCCGAAATCCTCCCGATTTGGGTCCGTGGGGCATCCTTGGGAAGTTTTATTCTTATTTTTATGAATTCCTATTAATTTATTAATTCCTATTCATGATCATTTTCCCGTATTATCCAATATTAAAAAATCAACCACAAACAGATCATTTTTAAAACGATTAAATTAATTTTAAACTGATTTTCGGAAGAGGAGATTTTAATTAATCGATGACCTTTCATTTAGAAAAAAACACGATAAAACCTATAATATTAATTGGGCGATTTTAAGTTCAACTTGGCTCGATTTTTATTAAAAAATAAAAGCAGAAACTTTTGTTCTGCGAGGTGGATTTATCTGGAATTTATCTGGAATTTATCTGGATTTTATCTCGAATCTTTTTAGAATTTATCTCGAATTTATCTCGAATTCCCTCCTGCTGCCCTCGGGCTGTAATTAACCCCGGATTTTCCCATTTTTAAATTTAAATTTAAACAGCAAATTAATTCCGGAATCTTTCACTCCCTCTCCCCGCGAGCTCTCCGGGATTTTGGAACATTCCAGAACCCGAATTTTGGGGGTGACGGGAGCAGGAAGTGGTTGGGGACACCTCGGGGACACCTCGGGGTTCGGAGCCTCCCCGGCCCCGCTGCATTTTTGGGGTTTTTTTTAGGGTTTATTTTAGG